CCCAGGGCACAGGGGACCACGTCTGGGGATGCCTGTGGCTGGAAGGACAGGGGAGCTCCCGGCACGGAGGGGGGGTGGGGCCGGGGAAGCTGTTCAGTCCTTCCCCCTGCCCCAGGCAGTGATCCAGCCCCCACGCCGCCGACTGTGGCATTGGGGGGGAGGGGGATGTCTCTGAATCACCGTCCCCTCTGGTCGCTGGTGCCCTTATCTCCCTAAGCCTCCCAATCTTTCTCACTTCCTCTCTGCCTCTGTAACCACCGTGTTGGCTTTTTTAAGGGCCGTGTTTGGCTTCGCTTGGCTTTAGTGATCCCCAGTCATAATATTTATTCGGCCTCTGCTGTATACGGCGCTTTCCCTACACAGCAGGTGCATGAAGCGGGTGAGGTTCGACTTGTAGCTTCTCCTGCCTCCGCCTCCCTCTCCGGTGCGACCCTCAGGACCTCGTGCCCTGGAGACAGAGCTCTCCCTCCTCCTCGGACCCAAACCCGCCTGAGGGAGGGGTCTGGCAGCACTCACTCCCCCCTCCCTGCAGATTTAGACCCGGTAGGGCCCCTCCCCAGGATATTTGTATTTAAAAAAAAAAAATTTGTTTTTATAATTATGGACTTTAGAAGGCGTTTATATGCCCCAATGAAGAGCTATCTGAGCAAGTAAGATAAGGCTGGGCCGGACTCTGACGTGACCTTCCCACAATGGAGTCCGCATGGCTGATGGGGGTCATATCTACCCGGTTTGGGAAACTGGGTGGTTGGACGCGCCTGTCCCTGATGACTCAGCAATTTCGCTCCTGGGGGTTTGTCTGAGAGCGACGCAAACCTGTGTTCGCGGCAAGAAAGGGACGTGCCCGCCAAGACTGGAACCTGAACGTGTGAAGGTCCGTAGCAACTTGACGCAGAGTTGTCCTGGGCGGAAGGCAAGTCAAATGCCCGGGGGTAGGGGAATAAGCAAGCCGGCCGAGCCAAGCGACGCGGGGCTACTCAGCCATAGGAGGGGACGCGCGGCACGAGTAGGCGCACCAGGGGTGAATCTCGGGGACGTCGAGTCGAGAGACACCGGTCACCAAAGAACGCACGCTGCGCGATTCTACCCGTACGACATCCAGAACGGAGGCCAAAGCATCACCGGGAACAGAAAGCAGTTGAACAGCGTTAAACGTTAAAAATTTATTTTTTATTTTTTTATATTTGTTTATTTTTTTAATTATTTTTTTGTTTTTTTTAATTTTTTTAAATTATTATTATTATTATTTTAATAAAAGTAAAAATTCGTGCTCGCCTCGTGTACTAAAATCGGAACGATACAGAGAAGATTAGCATGGCCCCTGAGCCAGGAGAACACAACCGGTTTTCAGCCCCCCCCCCCCCCCCCCCCCGCGTGAAGACAATACCCTCCCCATCGAAAATGCGCCAGGTTAGTGAAAAATATACCCTCCCCATCGAAAATGCGCCAGGTTAGTGAAAAAGGACGGTGTGGGACAAAGGACGCCCTGCGTGAGTGAAAAAAGGAGCCGTGAATACAGACGCCCCTTTGCGGGAAGGTTATAGGCCACCCCGGGAGGAGGTGGGACTTGGGACAGCTTTCAGGGCTGGGCGCGCTCCCGGAGGAGAAGGGCTTTCTAGGCCTCATCACTAACGCTCTCCGAATCCGAACCCACGTACCTGTGGCACAGCTTCCGAGGAAACACAATTTCAATTTTTTTTGTTTGTTTGTTTAAGGAGAAAAACCATCACGAACCGAGGATCACGCCTTCTCCCCAGCGTTTTCAAGTTTTCTGATGCAGAGGCAGCAGGTATTCGAGTTAGCATTTAAGAGCTGCTTTTCCTACCGCCGTGAATCGCTTCACCTGTGTCCCCAAAGCCCAGCGTTCCCACGTTCCCACGGGGGCTCGATGCCGCCCTTGTAACGTTCTGCAAAGAAGGAAATGCCTCTCTTTCACCGCGATTGCTTTCTCCTGGTGTGAACGCTAAAGGGTCAATGATTGCCGGCCGAGCCCCGCCAGGAGGTAGTTCCCCCAGACCCGTGTCTTTCTCAGGGATCCCTCTGCCTTTCCATCCCCCAGGTTTCCTCGGGTGGTTTCCAACGGGCGCAGAGGGAACATGCGCGCGAAGCTCTTTGTGCTAATTCTAACTAAAGTGTGAATGACTGACACCCGGTTCACGCATTCCTTTTTCTTGGGAACAGATACATTTTCTAGTGAGGTTTGGAGGAATTGTAGCTCAAGTCCGGACTAGCTCTTAGGTTCTTGCCCCGGGGGCAGAATTCATCCCGGCCCCCCACCCCCACCCCACCCCCGTGTTTGTTAGGTATAAATAGTTCTAGTAAAAGGTGAATAACTGATATCGAGCTCATATATCCCTTTTCGTGGGAGCATTTATGTTTTCTCATGGAGCTTGAAGGCAATGTAACTCCAAGATTAGCTCTTAGCTTTCCTCCCAGGGCAAAAGTCACCCCTCTCAGGTGTTACTTAGGTATAACTAGATCCAGTTCAAATATGATGACAGATGTTAGGTGGGTACATTGTTTCTCCTGGGAACATTTACATTCTCCATCGCAGCTCAGATCTATATCAGCCCTTAATGTTTTGTCCACGGCAAATCCTTCCCTCTGTGCCTTTCTTTCTTTTTTTTTCCTTTTTCTTTTCTTTTTTTTAGAGACAGAGAATGTGAGTGGAGTAGAGGAGCAGAGGGAGACAGAGAGAGAGAGAGAATCGCAAGCCAACTCCACGCTCGGTGCAGAGCTGGCTGCGGGGCTCGATCCCACGACCCTGGGACCATGACCTGAGCCGAAATCAAGAGT